TTGGCCTTGTCCTCCACCATAGCCTGATGGCAGGCCTTGGTGAGACGGTGCACCTCCACCACTGACCCCCCAAAGAAGGCCCCCATGTAATAAAAGTCGCCCTCATTGTGGGGGATGTAGGCCTGTGACTTTGGCCGGCGCTCATAGGTAAAGGCCTCTCGGCTGCTTCTGTAGAAGCCAGGATGCAGGGTACCGAAGAGTGCTGAGAGAATCTCCACACCCACGTGGTCTTGGAACTTCATGTCCACATCTGCACACACCAGGTAGTCCACCTCCTGCAGAAAGCGCCGCTCGGAGAAGTCGCTGATCATCTCCATCCTGTGCATGGACACATCCTGCCAGCGGGAGTAGTTGCGCACGGTCAGCACCACCAGCTTCCGTCCTGCCCCCAGGGGCACCTGCGGCACCTCGGCAGGATGGTCAGTGAAGACATAGTAGATGACCTTGTGTCCCACCATGAAGTGCTGCTCTGCCGTCTCCAGGAACAGTTTCAGGAACACCACATACCTGTGGAAGGTGACAAAGGGGTAAGCAGAGGTCTAACACAGCTAGGACAAGACTAACCAGGGAAGGGGCCAGGCTGCAGAAACCATGGCTACCATGAGGCAACAGCATCCCCACTCTACAGCTGTACTGAGCAGTCTGCAGGCTGTTCCTCACCTCACCCTCCTTTGCTGCAGAAGGGTGCAAATGTTAGCAAAGAACATAAGGCTCCTTGGAAGCACCCTGGAAGGTTTCAACCAGACAGCAGAGATGATTCCAGACCAGGGATTCTAGGCAGATGCCATGAAGATATCTCTTGTCTTGGCAGGCCCCTTAGCAGGCCACCACTCCAGAAGTCTGTCACCCTCCCCCAAAAGTGACAGCTCCCTTCCAACACATTCCACATCCCACATCCTTGCATTGGCCTGAGCAGAGCCTGTGCTAACAGGGCTCCACTTTCTAAACCCTGGAGGAACTGGATGAATCTGTAAGAGACTGGTACCCACGCCCCTCCTTTGTGGCACCCTCCAGGATCCTGTCTCAGGAAAGGAAGGGGTCTCTGTATCCCAGACCTTCCTCATCAGAGACTTGAAGGTGCTGGGGAGAAGGCACTCAGTAACTCAGTCCCTAAGTCTCACTCCACATTCACTCCACCAGAGGAAGACATCATCTCAGAGTATGCAGGGAAGGGGAGACAGACGCCCTAGAAAGAAGGGCAAGCCTATCCCAAACCCTCAGGTCCAAGGGCAAAGGCTTGTAAGCCAGGTTCTACATCCTCTCCCATCCCAAGACATTTTCACCTGCTTCAGATGACTGTTTCTCCCTTGATGACCCCAGGGCCATGCGCCACCACCATGGTAACGGGGATCCCCATCACCTGGCAAGTGTGCCAAGCCTCCCCACTTCAAGGTCAGAAACAGGCAAGTGGCTGTGCTCCCTGTGTAAAGGTGACCATGGGGCCCAGCTAGTTCCCTCAGAGGCCTTATTCCCACAGACAGAGCACCTACCCACCCCTGGCAGGGCTCTTGCTCACGTACCCAGCAGCACCCAGACAAGGTAGTGTGTGTGTGTGTGTGTGTGTGTGTGTGTGTGTGTGTGTGTGTGTGTTGTTACTGTGAAGTTCTCTGTCCCTGGCACTGCAGGCATTCTCAAGGTACCTAAGGTCACTCCAGCTGAGCCCCAAACCTCTCTCATGTCTGATTAGTACAAAGGGCTCAGAGCTACCCTTGGATCTCACACAGCACTGCAGAGAAGGACAGTGCCCCTTCTCATATGCTAGGAGCACAGATGACTTCTCTTAGTCCCCCACAGCCTTCGGCATGGGACTGTTACACTGCCCCCCCTTCTATAGGCTCCTATATGGAAAGTTTCTTGCCTGTGACCCGGAGTCAGCCTGACCCAGAGTCTCAAGGCCTCACAGGTCTGTCACTCACTGCACACAGGGCTGAGGATAACGGTTTCAAGCAATCCTTGCTGTCTACCTTGTCCTGCATCTGAGGACACATTAGTGGTCACAGCTCTGTTGGCATCCTGGTCCTTGCTGCCAGCTGTGGGGATGAGAACACCTACCTAAAGTGTGAGCTGAGGGAGGTAAATGGCACCTGGCTGTGAGCACACAGAGGGACAGTTGGCTCCAGAAGTAGGCCGTGCTGGATTCATTCCCCTGTGAGCCCATCAGGAAGGCGGCAGAGTGAACCAGCCCCAACTACACTGCATCCTAAATACAAACTGATATGCCTGGCCTCCACCTTGACAATTGTGTGTGTGTG